GCTTCTTTGAGCATCTATCTGCATTGAAGTTTATAGTTCATGGTAGTACAACTTGGGAGGGAAACGAAGAGATGAGCCAACAGAAGCAAAGCCTATCTTCTAAACGCTGAACACCACTGGGGCAGTGGCTGAAATCACACAGGTTCAGTATTTCCAAATATGACATACATGGAAAAACTGAACTGCTTTTCTGCTCCCCTTGGCTTGTACATCTCTAGTTTTCCTTACTACCACTGCCTCAGTCTTATCTGGTTAATAAACGGAGACAGTTCTAGTCTGTTGGCATTTAAATGTCTGCCTGCCTAAACTCTAGTTTCACAGCGGGTCTGACTTGTTCACGTGTGTGTATAATTTCAACACTTAATGAAATATGAAACCACTGCAAGATTAATTTATCTACAATTGCAAGCACGGCAAAGTGACGGAGCAGTTACTGCATCGGGAAGGTTCAGCACCGCCGTGGCCAGTGTCACGCCGCCAGGCCCCGGAGTTCACCGACAGCCCCGCGCTCCCGGGGACCGGACACAGCGCCCGCCGAAGCCAGAGGGCACAGCAGCGCCCTCTGCCGGCGCTCTTCCGCGCCGGGAACCGCCCCGCATCCCGCCCTACCGGAGGGACCAGCGCACAGGTGAGGAGCGCCACGGAACCTGCCACCAGATTCCGCTCTTAACTGGCTAATCCACCTTCTTCACGGATGTAGCCCAGCCAGAGCTGCATCACATCACAAGCATCATAGGCGCTTCCAAGGCTTTCTGTTTTGAGCACGTGTGAGCAGCCTTAGATGACTTGCATATGATCCAATCATAATTCAATCATAATAATGAATTATTTCATAAAGAGCTATCATTATTTTTGCAATTGGATGCAGGCAGCAGACAGGCTGAGAGAGCTGGGGTTGTTCATCCTGGAGAAAAGAAGGGTCTGGGGAAACCTCAGTGCAGCTTCCAGTACCTAAAGAGGCTGACAAGAAAGCTGGAGAGGGGCTTTTTACAAGAGCCTTTAGTGACGGGACAAGGGGGAACGGCTTTAACCTGAAACAGGGAAGACTGAGATGAGCTCTTAGTCAGAAGTTCCTCCCTGCAAGGGTGGCGAGACACTGGCACAGGTTGCCCAGAGAAGCTGTGGCTGCCCCATCCCTGGCAGTGCTCAAGGCCAGGTTGGACGGGGCTTGAGCAACCTGATCGAGTGGAAAATGCCCCTGCCCATGGCAGGGGTTTGGAACTGGATGATCTTTAAGGTGCCTTCCACCCCAGTACGTTCTGTGATTCTACGATTCTGATTCCATGATAAGCATTGCAGGCTTTTCCAGTGCCTTTTTTTGAGCATGTGTGAGCAATCTTAGGTAACTCATGTGTTATCCAATAATAATTCAATCATAGTAAGTAATTATTATTTTATAAACAGCTATCACTAGTTTTGCAACTGGATGCAGATATCATTCGTGAAATTAATTCATTTTCTCAGAGCCAGACAAGTAACAGAACCATAACAGGTCCTGCAATTACTTCTCGTTCTTGGAGCACTCCTTATCAGATCACTGTGACTTGCAGTGGGGCCAGCTCGGAGGACATAGATTTGTTTCTAGAACATCTGAAAAGAGGCAGAGACAGACAAGTATGCAACTACAGGGAAAGGGAGCTAGCTGGGAGGTTTCTGAAACAGCACATAAAAAAGCATGGGGCAGGAGGGACTTACTTACAAGAGTACAAACTCAAAATATGACACAGACAGCAATGCAGAGCATTTTAAACATCATGCCCAGAGGACAAGGGGACATAAGGACAACACAGTCCAACAAAGTTATGCAGCAAGGTGCTATGTAACAGGAGCTGGGCGTTTATAAAAGATTAAACTGTTAGCATCTGTAGTAGTTTTTTCACTTCAAAGCTCAAATGTTACATTTTCTGATGGGAAATTACCTTTCATACCTGATAAAGCTAATAATTTGCTTTATAAGCACACTGTGTAGTCACAAATATTTTTAAGATCAACCCTCATTCTGTAAAAGAAGTTTATTTATAGTAAAAGACACAAGTACTCACTATTCAGTAGGCGGCACTTACAGTACTACTTATTCTGGGTTGCAGCCGCTAGCAGAGAGCACTGTTTTACTCACAAATATCAATAAAACTTGCTTTGCAGATGGGCTTAAAAGCAAAGTCTTTATTCCAAAAGGTTTATTAGGTGAAGCTTTTTATCTAATTATCTAAGAATAAGATAAAATTAAAACTATAATCTGTATCAAGTGAAGTTTGAAAGAGATTTTGGAGTGATTATTCCTTTCATCAACTATAACATTTCCAAATTCTAGATTAAGAATACTCAGTGAGCACTGGAAAGACAAATAAATAATGTTCACAAATTACTCTGGAGAAAGAAAACAGGGGCACTTGAACTAGATGATCTTCAGGTCCTTTCCAACCCAAACCATTCTATGATCCTGTAAGTGTTATGCAAGATTAATATATCAAATTTGCAGAAGGTCAAAATGAAAGCCTGCAAGTACAGGTGGGGTTTTATTTGTCTGAAGAAAGCAGAGAATGTGTGGTATGCCATTCCTATTATAACTTTTTAAATAAAGCTTATCTTTTCCCCTTTTCCTATTCCCATCAAAAAATAACCAACCTCCCATCAACTCCAATAGATTACAATCTACTGAATGTAACAAATACTCTTCTGAGCCAGCACTGACAGTATCAACAATGAACAGTTTATCTTAAATACAAAATCAGCATAAACCCTGATCTATACAATAAAAGTTTAGGCAGGTCCTTGATAACAGTCAACATACACTGACTGGCATTTTCTATGTTTTATTCTTGGAAGTGTTCTTTCAACTCCCAAGAGGGTTGTATGGAACACCATTCCACTTAAGAAGTGGGAAGTCTCCCGATGGGAAAGAAGTCTCTATACTCCAAGAATGTCTCTATACTCCATGGTGGATTTAGTGTCTGAATTTCTACACCAAAACAAACAATGTAAAAAAAAGTGCTTCCCAGAAGACTTCCCCAACTGTCCATATTAGGAAACCCAACCTGTCTTTCAGCTTCACAAAAGCTGAAACTGAACGTGCCATGAATAGCTTGATCAACTCTGAATCACAGCTTTTAGAGAACTTGTGACTAAAATAGCTCTATAAACTTGTGTTACAACTGGCACAGAAAGCTTGCCTTTCTCTCTACCTTTATCTGAAATCAAACTGTTTATCACATTCCTTCCTCATACATCAGCTCCTTGTGATGAAAGCAAGCCAGTGATTAATACTTTTTATTAGGCTGGTTCCAGTGACTTGAAATGAATTTGCCCTGACTCCTCAAGCATGCCACCACACCCACCACATGGCACTCCAACCATGCCAGGAATGCACAACAGAAGAAGTTATCTTACATGATACTTCATAAATCTATAGCAATAAAATTAACTGCATGATGGCTTCAAGCACAGATCACCTTCAGGACGTTCTTCCTCCCTCTCTCCAAAAGAAAAGAGGCAAGCCATAACTTTTAAAGCCTGGAGAAGGCACTGTTCTGTCACTTGTACTCTGTGACTTCCTATCGCTCATTAAGCAAAGCATTCTGTAAAAGAAACAAATGGAAAGCAGTCCAAATGCTTCAATTTTGTAATTACAAAGTGACAAAATAAGAGGTTTTATCCAAGTCTTGTAGTCTATCCTCTATTACATCAGGATCACAGACTTTATCTAAATTTAGACTGAATTCTCCATGCATCCTTTTGCAGTGTAAACCCAAACCATACTAAATAAAGGATGGGAAGACTGAATTAGCCTAGACACTGTCTGACAGCAAACTATACTTAACAATATCCTCTGTACTAATTACAACTTGGCTTGTCTTGAGCGATAGCTGCAATTCCTTTGCCTTTGGCATGGTGTACATAAACCAGCACCAAATTAAAAGTGATTCAGCACTGGATTTATTTTTTTAATTACTGACTACCAGCTGAGACTTGAGAAGTGAACAGACACTCGCACCTAGCCTCAGCTGCGAGGAACTGTTTGAACTCCCTTCACAGCCATCTACACACAGATACTTCACACTGAGTTCTCTTCTATCAGTTTTATAGATTAGGGAGAGACCTGGATTTCAAAGGTTTGTTGACATAACTAGATTAATGTACATGCTTTCTTCTTGCATATAAAACTATACAAATGAGTCTTTCCTCTTCAGATTGTGAGTTGGTTATGGTCCCTCCACTAAGGGGTTTTGTCAGCACCTCTCTCAGGGTAGCTAGGCAGACATTTATATGAAAATAATAGATCTATCTTAGAATTATACCCCTTTGATATGTTAGATATATCTCTGACAGAGGCAACCACTTTGAGATGTTAGCAGATACTACAATGTTATTTGTGGTTAAAATGAAAACAAACTCCAAAGGCATCTTTATGCCTCGGATGGGCATTCAGAGAGCAAGAGTTCAAACTTCCATCCCGATCTGTACCGTGTCAACACACGAACTAACACTTGTGCGCTCTGCGTTAAGTCCGCAGGACCCCAACCCGCCTGAGGCGCCCTGGTCCCGCCCGCCTCAGGGGGCGATGCACTGAGCGGCCTGAGGAGAAGGCGGGGAACCGCAGCCCTGTGTGTACACATCAGACCCGGCTACTGCAGGGCGAAGGTTGCCGAGGCACATCCCACACCTGCTCCCTAGAATACGGGGAAAGACTTCCTTATCACACGACCACCCCTCCTCCTCACCCGTACAGGGACCCAGCCTCCATCTTGGAACCCCGCCGAGCTCCGCGCAGGTGTGCGGCCCCTCCCGCCACCCAGCCACTGCGCATGCTCAGCAGCGGCAGGTGCGCGGCCCCGCCTTCCCGGCGGCGCAGGCGCCGTGGCCACTCCGCTCCGCCCCCGCGGCTGGCCGTGGCTCGGCAGGTGCCAGGAGCCGCCGTGGCTCCGCCCCCTTTTTCTGTCTGAGGGCGGCGGCGGCAGCGATCGTTGGAGCGTCCGCGGTTGCAGGGGGGCAGTTGGCTTCGGGCTGTCCCGCTCGCCCTCCTTCTGTCCCTCTCCTCCCTCCCGCAGCAGCGCAGCTCGGCGGAACGAGGACGAGACACCGACCCTCCGGCGGCATGAACCGGCCTCACCGCGGCGCCGCGGGCAGCCGGGGCCTGGGCACCATGGAGGTGAAGAGTAAGGTAGGTGCTGGTCACCACGCTGAGGGCCGCGGGCGGCGGCGGCCGGGTAGGAGCCGGCCCGGCCCTGCCCTGCCCTGTGGGGGCGCCTGGTCACGGTGCCGCTGTGGAGAAGGGCGGTGGGGGGAGGCGGTGAGGGGTCGGGGCAGGGAGCGCTGCTGACTCACCTGGTGACACCGAGGGCGACGGGCCGGTGTCCGCCGGGGCACGGCCCCGGGGGGGTTGGAGCGCTCCTCAGGCCGCGGGGCTTGGGCTGTCCGCGGGGGCCGTCTGCTTTCCCCACCTGCCCGGCCCGTCTCCAGCCAGCTCCTGGGCTGCTCGGCTGCAAGGAGGCTGAGGCAGCGGGAGCTGAGCACGGGGAGCGCTGTTTGCGGGTGGAAATAAGCGGTTTTGAAGTGTTTTTAGAAAGCAGGTTGGTGGAGTTGCACCTTTCGTTTCTGCATAGACTGAAAAGGATACAGAAGTAGATGGTTGAGGGAAGTTTGGTATAACAGGGCCAAAAGAAGTGTTCAGAGTCGTAATTCACAAACTCCAAAACCTGCTGTCTGAATTAGAGAAAGCCCCTACTAACTTAGGGGCTGTTTCTATACTTCTTTCTTTTTTTATTATTTAACTTGGTGACTGTGTTTTCGCGCTTTTTTTTTTGGTGGGGTAGAACATATTCTTATAACTTGCATTACTTGCTAGAGGTAAGCCCTGACTAACTTATCTTAAAATAGAGCTTGCCTTCTTTTAGAGGCTATCTGAGGATTTGACACTGGCAATTGTTTCTTGTGTGTGTATCGGTATCTTCTGGCTTATACAACAGTTTCTGTGGTCAGAGCTTTGCACAGTTGTGTAAATTCTCTCACGGGTGTATCTGCATCCATTCTTCCTGTTACTTTCTCGTGTGCTTGTTGGGCAAAGTCTTTTGGCAAAATTTTGTTCTGAGAGAAATTAGTTTTTTTATTTTCTGGGGTTTTTTTTTTTGTTCCTTTGGTAGAAAAATATGTCTCCTGTTGGCTTTTATTTTAAACTCATCTGCAGCCTGTCTGTATCCTGTATCTTCCTTTCCTGCCAGTCAAGTGTTTCAGCAGCTATGGTATAGGTGAAGTGAGTGGTCAAGACTTGTGTGTGTGTTTTTAAGGATAGCCTGCTACGGTGCTGAAACTTCTAGAAAATGTATGGTTTGTTTCTGTAGCTTGGATGAGGATGACTTCTTTCAAGCCTTAACTTTTCACGTGGTCAAAACCAGAAAGCACAGGTCTACCCGGTATGCCAAATATTAGTTAAACAGCTGTTACTGTGGTTGGGGAAGTCTTTTATCTGTGCTCTTACAAGGCTGAAAACAATCACTACAATGTGCTTACAAACAAAATGCTTATTTCCTCAGCCCCAAACTAGGCTTACTGTTCCCCCATTGTGTTTTCCTTGATTTAAAATATATCTAGAGATCACCTATGTGATGTGTTCTTTGGTGTTTGTATGGAGATGTGTAGGCGTTCTAATAAACAAGGATTCTCTCAAGTATGTATTATGTAGCAGGTCTCAAGGCATTCCTAGAACTACTTGTCACTAATGCATTATTTAACAGCACCTTGATTTAATATAGCATAGGAGTTCTCTTCCATTTATGAAAATAAGCTAATCTAAAGAGAAGGAAGAAAGTCGTCTTCCTTCCTTGTGTGGGAGGTGAAGGGGACCATTACTGTGGAGTGGTCTAGTGTTTGAGGGCTTATGAGTGAGGTATAGCTCTGTATTTAGATATTGCAGATCAATAATCTTGCCTAGCTGACAAAGTTGTGCCAGCACAGCCTGGCTGTGCTTGCAGTTATATGAGCAAATTTCTTTTGTTAGTTTGGCTTATTCAACTTATGGCAATTGGGCTGAACTTCACATCAGGAATCCCCACAGTATATTAATTTCAGGTAGCCCTTTTTCTTGTCATAGAAAATCAACTTTTATACCCCAAGCTAGAGTTCCCAGTGGTGATATGAAAGCCCCCAGATAAACTTCTAGCTCTCTAGATACAAAATTCAGGTTTTCCCTCTCCTCTTAGGACTTTGAATAATACCTTTTCTTTTCAGAAAGAAATCTAATATACTGATAAAACAGATGGTTACTGTAATTCATGTTCTGTTGTTGCTGAAGGCTTACAGCATAGCAGCAGTATGCTGTGTTGCGGCGACTTAAAGAAGTTTCTCAAATCTTACTCTAGTAATTTCCTAGTATACTGACATGGCTTGTGCTGTGTTTTCCCAATTGAGTTAGCAGTGTAACAGTGTGTGTTTGTAAAAAGCTCAGGTAAGAAGCCTTCTCTTAAGCTACTTTTTTCCAGTCTTTCATCTCCCCTAAGTGCAGCCTGGAATGGGATGGAGTGCACCATCTGATATCAAATGAAAATGTTTCAGGGGGTTAAAATGAACCGTGAAATGAAATAGTTTTACTTTTGTCTTTTACCTGCTTTATAGTAGTATTGAGTATATGGCATACCATGTTAGGAAATGATAGATTATTAGTCTCTTGGTGCTTGCACCAACTATGTGTAAAATAATGAGGAAAAAAAACCAACCTCACGTTTGAAAATGTGGCCCTTTGCATGCTTGCTGAAGGGGAGTTAATATTTACTCCAAACTGCAAGTGGACTTGTTGGCTTTTTAAACTTTTATTACTGAATTATGTTTAAACTATGTAGTCTTTGGAAGCCAAACAATTTCAGTTGATGCAGTGTATGGGCAATTCCTGTGGCATTCGTACTTCACATAGCTGAAGATTTGAGAGGCACGGGATAAAGTCTTCACTTACGTCATGATTAAGCGTGCTGCTTCTGACATGATGAGAGTTCCTCCTGTAGGCTTTGCTTTGTTTTTCTTGTTCGTGGGTATGAATCATCCCTCCTGCCTTATCGTTAGTTAATGTTACTGTAGTGGAGTATTTCTAGAAGAGGAATGTTCCCACCTAATTCCTTTATTTGAAACTTTGTGAGGAAGATGGGGTGGTGGTAGGTGTAGCTTGTTCTACTGTGCTGTTGGAGTTAGTATGGTGTTAATGTGCTAACAATGGCATCCTTGTCTCCTTATTTTCATGCCTTTATTTGTATGTGAGAACTCTAAAGCTTTTGCTTTTGCTCCAAAAGGTTGTTATCAAAAGTGAAGTAAAAGTTGGTCTGGGCGCTTGGTAACATGCACCTTCATATCTGTGGTGTGTAATGTATACCCAAGTATGTGATACTGAGGCTCAAACTTGCAGTCAGTATTTTGTTCCATGTGCCCTTCTGTTCTGTTTAAAACTAAACTCACTAAAGTCATTACTTAAAAGTCTTTTTTCACTCTAGGTCAGAATAGAGTTCACAAAAAAATGCTACCATCTGACTTTTGTTTGTTTTCGTGTTTTCTAATGATCAGTTCATATACAAGTTGGTCTGCTTTTAGTAAGCTGCTGCTATCAATTTTAGCATCTTTGGTATGTTGTGTGTACCTGACATGGAGGGTTTGGGGTTATTTTTATCCCATATTCTATTTGCTTTAAGTCCTGCCAGTATTAGGCAGAACACTATAATTTTACTAGTTACGCATACTAATACTCCAGTATATCTAGTCTACATCAGATGCTTGCTTTCTCACTTGCACCTAGTTTAGTTTTATGCCTACCACCACTGAATCAATAGGTGTTTGTTATATAGGTGATTTAGGCGTTTGCATGGACTGGGGAGCTGAGTGTTTTCTTGAATGATCATACTGACTAAATGCAAATCCTGCCTCTGAAAGTCCAGTGCCAGTGATTCAGTTTTGAGTTTTTATTTTTTTCAAATCTGAATCTGGATACAACCACGTATTATGAGACTCTGCAGTCAAGAGTCTTGATCATGCAGGCAGATCTTCTGAGTCCTTTTGAGGAGTAGTGGCTGGTTGCCTCCTTTCTGTCTCTCTTTTGGTAAGAGCAGAATTGATTTGAGATCAGCTCACCACAGCTTTACTGCAGAGTTTGTGCTGGAAAGCAGCAGCTGTATTTTGTAGTCTCGGGCCAAAGTGGCTTTTACACTTCTTATCCAAACAACAGGGAACCTGAAAGCTTCTCAGTCTTGCCTAAGTCAACCATAGCTGTACAACAATTCATACGTACTGTTCTGAAGTGCAGTGAAATTTTTTTGAAGAAAATTCCAGGTAGTCACATACCGTAGGAGGTTAATCATAATCTTGGTTTTGAGCCACCAACGTCAGTGCTGGGTATGAATTCTGTCTCTTACTGAGAGCGTGGCTGTTCCATGAGTGTGTGAGAATCTGCAGTTATTCTTGGCACTAGTTTGTCACCTTAATGCTAAACTGCTGTATTAGTGAATTCTTTTATCAAGATGAAAAAGTTATTACTGGGAATGGGGGGGAGGAGCCAAACACCAAATCCAGTTTATACTGACCTTTTTGTCACTTCAAAATTATTGGTTGTCATCTTTAGTGCATTTTTAATTCCATATCATTTCTAGTTCAACATTCAAATCATTCTATTGCTTGAGAATGTTACATTTCCATAGTAATGATGTACAATATATTTTGTTGTAGTTTGGAGCAGAATTCCGACGATTTTCTCTGGAGAGATCCAAACCTGGAAAGTTTGAGGAGTTCTATGGATTACTGCAGCATGTGCACAAGATACCAAATGTTGATGTTCTGGTAGGATACACGGACATTCACGGAGACCTGCTGCCTATCAATAATGATGACAACTATCTCAAAGCAGTTTCCACAGCTAATCCTCTACTCAGGATTTTCATTCAGAGAAAAGGTAAGTGCACGTGAAGCCAGTGAATCATCTGTTTCTCCAGTTATACAGTAACCAGTGTGACTTATGGAGGAAAAAACCCTACAGTCCTATTTCATCATGTTAAATTCCGTAATAATTATGGATCATGAAAGGTATTCACAACTCATCTGTTTTGCAAGAGCTTCCTCAGGCAACCTATTTATACTTTGTGCTTTTTTCTTGTATTTAGTTACGTTAAAGTCAAGTTAAATCTCTAGCAAATGCTTCTTTTTGGTTCTATATAAGCAAGTGAAAATAAACTTTAAACCTCTAGGGCTTTTTGTTCTGTATGTTGAATGCCTTTCACATAAACTTGTAATCTTGATCAGATGAGAATTACAGGATAGAAAGGAATCTTGAAAGTCTTATTACGAGGTATTAAATGTCAGTATAAATTAAAGGCTAAGTTTAATATTCTACTCCTGTCATACTTTTCTAATAAAACATTCCAAAACCTTCAAAATGACAAGCTTATTTCAATTAGCAAACCTCAAATGTGAGCGTGCTCGGTTTGTTGGTCTGCCTTTAAAAATAGCATGTCCTCTAGGCACAAAGTTCTCAATATTTTTCTAGTGTCTACTTTTTTTCATGAAGGAAAACCCACCAGATTTGAAGTTGTATTTGTTCTTGTCCAGGAGAGCATGTGAAGGGGAAAGGAAAAATCTAGCAATGTGATTTGAAATTGTTTTAATACAGAGAAGTCAAGAAATTCTGATTTCTGCACTTTGTGGTTTTCTGCTGACTTGCATACAGGTGTGAGTGTGCATATATTGTATGTACATATGTGAACATGTGTATGCAGTTCCTGTTAGAATAAGCCAGTCAACTCCTCTTTGAATAGCAGGCTGCTTCTTACTTAGCAGTGTTATAAAGATGTGCACTGTTTCTGACTGTTGCTAAGCCAGACTTACTTTCCTTAGAAAATACTTGAGCATCAAAAGCTTTTATCAGCTTTCCCACTCCAAAAAATGAATAAGATCCACAGCAGCTTGACACAAAAACAATATTCAAAAGCACTGTGGTTGCTTGCCAGCTGCTGTGTTGCTGGCAAAATGTTTGTTTTGTCTGTATTGAGGATTGTGTGGTATAGCAACACTTAATGTTTTCGGTCCTGAATTGCCAGAGGAATTAACTGTTTGTTTTAATAGCACCTGAAGGCAGAAAGGGTCTATGATTCCATTTAATCTCCTACAGTAGCCATATGACGAGAACAGATAAGCCACTTTGTCAGAGTGGGATTATTGAGTTTATATTTTAACACCATATGTTTTTAGATTGTTACTAGTGTTACATGTTTAATGCTGAATGTTACTAGTGTTACATTTCTAACACCTTGTACCTTCCCTGCACCATTATTTAAGGTATGACGGATTACTCCTTATTACTCGGGTGCGAGGACTTGGTAATAGAAGTGATTGGTAATGCACAGAACTAGAAATAAGATTAACCCACTTAAGTTTATCATGCCTAGAGTTCACTATCGGGAAAAGCTGTGTAGAAAGTATTAGTTGTCATCACCTTCCCTTTGACACCAGAGCCTTCTGGATGTGGAGTTACAGGGAATGAAGAACGCAGGCTGGCACCTGAGTCCAGCACTTCCAGCACTGTACTGTGTTTTGAATTAGTTGTGAATGCTTTGATAGTTCTGTTGATTAAATTGAGGCTTTAGCTTCATTTAGCATCTTTGCATAATACCGAACAGAGGTTTGTTCGATGGAAAATAAGGAAATAACTTGATTCTGTATTTTATTTGTGATAATTTGCTGCTAAAGCTGCATTGCAGGGGTTAGAGATGTATCGGAATTTGTGCAGCCTAATTTGTTTAGGTATGGTTAATTCATTCAACTGCATAGATCTTTACTGCCCCTACCTCTGAAATTGAAAATCAAATATCCGAACAAATACCTGCTATTGATGCTATATTGATGGGGCTGCTTTGATCTGTGATGTTTTGGAACTGTAACTAACTAGTTACTCTTCTACCTGCAAGGCTTCTTATGTTTTTCATGCGTTCTCTTCAATCTGAAAAAATTTCTGTGCGTTTTCTAATGGGACTTTCTCCTTTTTCGTATTTCTATCAATAATAGTTGGGAATTTGAGATCTTTGATAAAAAGCCACTGTGGGGAAAAAGAGAGGGTTTTTACTGTCTTGAAAGATGACATTCTATCACATTATCTTATCAATTTAGGAGCTAGATAGAATTTGTGGGAAGCTAACATAAGGTATGAGAAGGCTACAATAAAATCTAGTAAATAGTATTAACTTCTTAGTATGTTGCATCCAAGAACACCTTAAGGGGTTGAAACGGAAGCAACAAGATGCTTTTGCATTTATTAACAAGTGACAGTTGTGATAATGTGACTCTAAAATGTCAGAAGTTATGTCAGAGTAAGCACCCTTTTCTGTTCTGACTTCTAATTTATTAAAGCCAGAAGATGTCCCAAGCATTTGTGCATTGGTTAACGTAGTAAGAAACTTAGAGATCCTGTAATTATATGAAGTCATGTTATTCCCCTTAGACTCTTCTAATTGTATTTAGCCAGATTCCTTTAAAACATTTTAAACTGCTTCAGTGCTAAATCTAAACTGGAGCTTGATATTGTGCAAGTCAAGAGTGGCTGTTAGCTTCTGGAAAACAGTTCCCTTATCAGAATTTCTTTCTGCAGTCTAACAGATTAACAGGTACTGCTGACATCTGGAATGTAAAGGTTAAACTGATGTATCATAATTAAATCCAGATGTATAGTAGTCACTCTGTCTGTGAGAAGAATCTCCCTGAAGATCAAATAGGGAGGGTGGGGGTGGACACAGTCCACACAAACCCTCAAAGGCAGTTCAACGTGGGGAACTTTGCATTGTAAATACAAGAATAATAGAGATGATAACAGAAGGTGTATTTGATTATAACATCCTTCAAACTCATGTGAAAATTATTAAATTACAATGTACAATTCTTGCAAGTCGTGCATGTGTATGGTTTTTTATAGTAAAAACAGGATTCTTTGGTTAATTCATTTGTGCCTTTTGAGGTAGACTTTTCACTGAGAGGCTTTATTTTAGTGAAAATTAAAAGAAGTTGGTTTTTAAACAGCTCTTTATAGAATATCATCCCTATTCTGAGTCCTCTCCCAAAAAACGTAGGTCACTCCTAGATCCATGTTTTGTTGTAACTTGGGACTCAATACAAGACATGATAAATTTGGGCTTATTTAAAAAATGCTAAATTGCATGTATATTCAAATTTAATTATTTGGGGGTTCTGCAAATGTAACTTGCGTGGGTAGCTCTGTGTTGCTTGCAAACAGATCAGGAAAACGTGTTAAAATCTGTCTTGAACAATACTAAATTGAAACCAGATTTGGCATTTGTGGGCTGTAGTTTTTAAACACCATGTAATGAGTATATACAGATTGTGCCACCTTGAGTTTGAAACTCCAGAGGGAAAACTCATTCTTTCACTATGTGGACGTTCTCCTTAACACTATCTGTAGTTAACACCTTGTCCTCTGGCTTTATGCCAAAATATTTTCCACTGCAGCTTTAAACTGATTAGGTAGTACCAGGACAAAGATGCCTTTGTACTGCAGAATCCTGCTTTGGAGCACTTGCTTAGCAGTGAAGAGAGGTTAAACAGAGTCATGCTGCTTGACTGAGGTTTGGAGATGAGTTTTCATCAACTTTTCACTATTTCTTTCCCCACAAATTATGTCACTTTAACTGTTTGTGTTGAGGTCTGTGCTAGTTTTGTATCATTAGACTACTAAGGCTAGTTACAATGCAAAAACTCTCCCCTCTGGTGCTTTGTAGTTTCTGAAATGTTTTGACATATGGCCTGCAAGTTTGGGATACTTTTATTTCAACAGTGTGTCATGTAATTTAAGTAAGTTTCTAAAAACAAAAGCACCAGCTCAGTGTTAAATATTTTTGATTGTACATTTGTCTTCTGAAAGAGATTTCTAAAGTCCTCTCTTCTAATAAATGTTTTTTTTGTGATCTCAGTTTTTGTTTAAAAAGCACATTCCAATCTATTCTTTCACATACAGATATATAATCTTTGAAAAGCCAGTCCTCTTGCAACTGATAGTAGTTTCTGTAGTAACTGTGGGAAAACTTGATTTGCACAAAAGTTTTAAGCTTTATCAGCTGATAGTTGTGGGAGGACAAGCTGGGTGCTGCTTTCTGTGAACTCTCGTTTCTTGTTGTGGAAGTTGTGAATAGCTCTTACTGTTGGATAAAGAGCACAAAGTTTCTGTGATAATTTGCAGGACACAATAAATCTACTTATTGGATGTGTATAAAAGAAATGTGTATATGTTTGTAGATCTAGTACATACCACACTTAGCATGTAGGCACAGAAGGCCTGAGTGGCAGGAAGAGAAATCCTGCTATGTGGCCTGCTATGAAGGTGAAGAAGCCTTATAGCTGCTGTGGCAAGCTGAGAATGTCAAATAATGATATAGTTTTGATATGACAATGTATAAAATACCAGATACTCTTTCTTTCACAAGAATCTGATTTGGTGCACTTGAAATTTAAGGAGGGAAAAACCTAAAAATCAAATACCTTTTTGATGCTGGAACCTGTGCATGTGGAACAGCATTGTAAGAAAATCAGAGCTGACAGTGTTTTGATACACGTTTCTGGTTTTAAACCAATTCTTGTATTAAAAGCAGTAGAATCATAGAATGGTTTGGGCTGGAAGGGACCTTAAAGATGATCTGGTTCCAACACCCTGTGAAGGGAAGGGACACCTTCCACTAGACCACATTGCTCCAAGCCCCATCCACCATGCCTGCTTCATATGTTAGATGTTAGTGCCCATATCCCAGATCTTTCAGCAGCAGCTTGCACTCTAAAATGGATAAATGGTGCATGTACAATTTTCCCATTTTCTACAGATGAGCTTAGTCTAAAAAACCCACTGTGATATGGCTTAAGGTCTGAACAATGTGGAACTAATCAGTTGAAATACTTCCAGCTTACTCATGGCTTATTGGAGAACTTCCCACAGAACAGAGCTCTTCTGGAGCAGTGTGGTGTTAAATGCCTAGAAATGTGTCACTGCTACAAACCAAAACTGAAGTGAAGCTTTTGAAATGAGGCGAAATGACATGTCTCGTCCATGTAGTGTCTTCCTGGTCCTTGGAATATTTTTATCCAGTCTTGTTGATTTTAACATAGATTGTGCAGCCTTAAAACAGGAGTTCTGAAGTATGAGATTTACACTACTGAAACATGCACTGCATGAGAAACTAGAGGTTTTGCCTAGTTTTTGAGATTAATGAGATGCAACTGCTGGGGGGAAGGGGAAATCCATGACAGAAAAAAAACCCTTTGCACTCAATAACATTCTGAATTTTTATATTTGAGTCACCATTGTCCTCTGGTTGTCTAAAATCTTCACCTATATCATCATTTTTAGTGTCGTATTTGTATTCAGTAGTGAAAGATCTAAAGTAAGACCCTTCTGCCTAGTATCTTTCACAATGGCCCTTTCCAAGTTGTTTTGTAAGCAATTGTAGTTCCAAATAAGAGAAGCTATTGCAACTCATTGAATTGCAAAAATCCTCCCAATGTAACAACCAGATGTCTAACTTGAAACTGGTTGGATGGGTTGTTAGTGGAGATAAGGGCAACTTCCCACACTTTTTCCTTTGATCATAAATTTTAAGCAAACATTAAAAAAATTGTTCCATGTTGTCTGGAAAAACAGCCCTGTTAGTGCTCAGTGATGCAACACAGGGTTTATAATGGCTGATCTTCACTCAGATATCCCCAAATGCATTTGAGAGTAAATGGCGAGTTTGTATTTTTGGCAGTTTGACACTTCAGCCATAGTCTGCCTGTTACACACTTTGGTTTGGTTGGATGGATTGGTTTTTAATCAACCCACTCTTCAACACAACTGATTTGACATTCTTGGGCATCTGAAGAACAGATTTTAGGCTATTTCTAAGGCCTTGGTTGATGTCGAGACCTAATGTTGCTTTAGTTTAACCTTAAATTACATTTCCTTCTTGACCTCTCTTTCTGAAGATCAACATTAATTCCGTTTTCTGAGAGAACCTTTCAGGATCCCAAATAAACTAAGAGAAAAAAAATCATTTAATGTTTTCAAGTATAGCTAGTGTAGATTATTCTGTTTGCTTCTACTTTCCTGCTTTTCTTTGTAGAATTCATAGAATAGCCCAGGTTGGAAAGGGCCTTGGATGAGATTAACTAGTACCCTGTCCAGTTGAATCTTGAAAATCTCTAGTGATGGGGACTCCCTGTGTCCCCATGGAGGTTGTTCTAGTGATTGATCTCACTGGGGTGGGAATAAAGAAAACAAAAGGAGACAAATAAACCCTCATTCCTTTGGACGACATCCTTTAAGCACTGAAATACAAGAGACTCCTTCAGGCTTTCCTCGTAGTGCAGTTTGATCACCTTCATGGTCTTCATTTGGATCCTCTCCAGTCTGTCCACATCTTCATTGACTTGTGAGGACCAGAACTGGACGCAGTTACTGCAGGTGCAGCCTGACAAGTGCTGAGCAGGGGGTTGATCACACCTCTCTGTGTTAGTAATGCCCCTGCGGATGCAGCTTCAGGGTTCAGTTTGCCTTTGCTGTGGCAGCGCAGTGTGGAATCGTGTTCAGCTTGTCCACCAGGACACCCAGCCTGTACTGGGCTCTTTGGTTATCCCATGTGCAGGACCTTGCACTTGTCTTAAACTTTATATTGTGCTTGGTAGCCCGCTCCTTCATGTAGCTTTGTTTTTACCTGCTGATCGCAAGGCTGCAGGGAAGCAGCTTTGCAGAGGCTGCCTCATGGATGAAGTGGGAGAGAAACATCCCTGCAGTGCTGTGAGTGCCGCACATGAAGTGAGAGCAGTGGGGTGTCTAACATAACACATGAAACAATTTGTGTTAGTGCTGCCTTTGCTCATTGAGTAAGGCTTGCAGAGACACCCCTCTGGATGAAAAGGTGGCCACATCTGAGAAACAGCATAAGTAGAAATTAACTCTGCAGGGTGGCTGTAATAGTCCAGAGAAGCATCCATGCTTTCCCAAAGGAACTGATGTTGTCACAAAAGTGACTCCAGGGTATGGCTGTACAGACTTAGCTACCTTCAGAAATAATTCCTGTTTGTGTCTGTTAAGTTGTTTAACAACCTTATTTATAACCTTTAATGCTAAAGATAGTCTGTCTTTAGCAAAGAGCTTTGCCTGCCTTAAGGTGTGATTGGTTTTTTTTTTAAGCAATGAAAAACAATAGTGTAACTGAGGCTGCCATCAGGACACAATTTTTAAATCCCGTTGATGAACTCTGTGATTATTCTTGTGTAGGTACAAGGTGTGAGCTTATGATAAACCCCTTTGTGTTTTTTTGTGGGCTAATTTAAATTACTTACTTTTTTTGTTGTCCTTTTTCTTTTAGAAGACCAAGTCCAAGTCTTCCTTAGTAGAGCAATCATTCTTAAAAAAACTTCTAGTTTTCAGCAGGCCCAGAGTCTGGGGAAGGGAGGAGTTAGTATTACGTGCTGAAATAGCATTAGACTTCACGAACTTACGAACTTCTTTCTTCATTCTCTTGCTTAAAGTATCAGAAGAGTCCAGCTATAACTGGTACATGTCTGTATATCTTCGCCTTAGCCTAGGGGAAAAGAAATCTGACTTACCAGCTCTCACTGTGTACTTTTTCAGCAGCAATTGACAGCTCTCCTGAAATTTCACACTAGGGTAGCATTTCCATAGTTATTTCAGTTCACACATTGAAATGTATAGTGTCTTTTACTTTCTTGGCTGAACCAATGGCATCTTAATGTGATAATACAAAGAAATCCCAATTTCTCTGAGTTGCAGGGTTAGACCAAAGCAGGTCTGCTTGATTATTTTATCCAGAGCAGTAAATCTATACAACGTTGCAAAAATAAAAGTGTAAATCCAAGGAAACTTGGGCCCGGATGTGTTTTGGTTCCTTGGTTTTGGAGAATTATAGCATATTAAGAAGAAAAAATGTAGCTTGCTTTGGTTAATAGGCATTTCAGACGTCAGAATTGCTTCCATAGAGCATTTCCTCTTCAATGAGAAGTATTGGTATGACTTGCGTGTTTTCTTTTTTAAAACTCTCAGCCATTTGCATACTTCTGTATCACATTGTGGCAGTTCCAGCATTGCTTTATGAACGGTTTGGCTTGGAGTATTTGTGTGCAAGATCTCTTTGTTTCTGCTTCTCAGCCATTTTACCTACAGTGCATGGGGGCAGGGAGGAGGGTGCAGAATGGAACAAGCTTTCTGGAGTTTGAATCCAGGTCACTTGGCCAGCTTCCAGGAGCCAGGCAATAATAGGCACGCTGGCTGCTTTCCCTTTTTCATTCTTCCTTTTCCAATGATCTGAAGCCCGAGGAGGGAAAACTAACCAGTGGAATTACTCTGAGTAAAATTAAAATGTTTCTAGGAATGTACCCATTCCATTCTAACCTTCCTCTAAAGCAGCTCTAGTTCTTTGTGTCTCTGCTGCTACTAACTTGCTTTAGGGGTTTTCTGTACTATCTTTAGTTTGGTAGAAGGAAACCAAAAATATTACAAACTTTGAATGTCTTAACATTAAAGCTCTTGTTTCATGTGTAGAGAGACAAGTTTCTAACATAGTAAGCCAGAAACCTAGATAACCTAAAACATGATAGCAATGTGATAGGGACCACGTATGAAGTGACCTAATTACCAATGTGCTGTTTCTTACAGAAGATGCAGACTACAGTGCCTTCGGTACGGATACTCTGACAAGGAAGAAAAACGTTCTATCAAATGTGTTACGTCCGGATAATCACAAGAAGAAACCACACATTGTCATTAGCATGCCACAGGACTTCAGACCAGTGTCTTCCATTATAGATGTAGATATTCTTCCTGAAACCCATCGCAGGGTGCGACTTTACAAATACGGGACTGACAAACCCCTTGGATTCTATATACGAGACGGCTCTAGTGTCAGAGTAACACCACATGGATTAGAGAAAGTGCCAGGGATTTTCATATCTAGGCTTGTCCCTGGAGGTCTGGCTCAAAGCACAGGCTTACTGGCTGTCAATGATGAAGTACTGGAGGTGAATGGAATAGAGGTTTCAGGAAAAAGCCTTGATCAGGTTACAGACATGATGATTGCAAACAGCCGAAACCTGATCATTACAGTAAGACCAGCAAACCAGAGAAATAACGTCGTGAGGAACAGTCGGACTTCTGGCAGCTCTGGCCAGTCCACTGAATCCAGCCTTCCAAGCAGCACGCCAAATATTTTAGCAAATTTCTTGCAAGGGGAAGAGGAGAGTGATGAAGAGGACATTATTATTGAAGACAGTGGTGAGCCACAGCAGATTCCAAAAGCTCCACCTACTAGTGAAAGCCTGGAATCATTGGCACAAACTGAACTCCTTCATGAGCCGACACAGAATGGATTTCTTCCTTCCACTGAGATGAATCTGAATCATTCAGCAGGCAGCATTAGCATGGAACATGAAGTACAAGATTCAGATCATAAGTCATTAGAAGAAGATGGAACTATTATAACACTGTGAAATTACACTGGTGTACTATGTATTAAGGATGCCATACATGTTTTGATTTGGCTTAAGAAATAATACATTTGATACCTCTCCTTCTATCAAGCACTGCAGTTAGAGTAAAAGGAGGGGAAAAAAGTAAATACAAGAAGTTCAAAATTATATAAGTTGACTAACTTCAGTTAATAGTGCACTTCAGTGTAAATACTTCACAAAGATGGAAGATAACTGAGAAGTGACTGAAGTCAAATGAGGAGAATTTAAATTGAAAATGAAGGATAGCTAAGAGATGGCTGTCAGCTTTCTTTTAAAGGTACTTTATTTCTTTTTAATGCAGAATACTACCGGTTCTATAGAAGTAAATTTCCATTATTGTGTGAGGTTGACTGTCTCATGTCCTGTGGTTTCATGTTCATCTGCTGCTTACGTATGATGGAGCTGCTTTGGCCACTTCATTCCTGTTCCAGGCTGCTGTTTAGCTGGTAGAGCTGTTTGTGTGGCTCAGTGTATGAGGAAACTGAAAAATAAGTAGGAGGTGGAGTGGGAAGAGATGTTTGTGGCTGGTCTAGTTCCTGACTGACATATTGAGCAATAGGCACCTGCGACAGTGGTCAGCAACTTGACAGCAGCCAGGATTTGAAGGTGGAGGCTTCTGAAGTTGACTGTTCCTTTGTAAGTGAATGTGCAACCACAGTAAATGTCAAAGAAATCAAATGTAAACTTAATGCTATGGCAATAACATAACATAATCCTTGTTAAAATCACAGTCCCAGTAGAGGCCATAAAGATTTCTGCTAGAAAGGTAAATTAAATCCCTAGATTTAAAAAAAGTTTTAAATCAGAATAAAGCTTTTAATAGAGCTTGCTTGAGCCATGTGATATTAAATGATTTGTTATTATGAACTACACTGTAAATGCTGATCTTTCTGTGTACCACTGGCTGGGTGTTTTGAATAGTACAAAGCTGCTATACATAAAACACCAATGACAAGTCCTGATACTGCAAGTGCATAAGTGTGCATGTGATCAGCTGCAATTACAAGGAGAAGCACAAGAGGAGGCTTTCAGCATTATTTTTCCCTTTTTAGTATCTCCTGCTTTGCCATTTCGGCAATCAGTTCCCAAGTTGACCCATCCCTGGGAACATAATTTGTGGCAGAAAAATGAGATGGGGACTAACAGGACTGGGGAGAAGGATGGATGGACCTTCTTGCCAACGATACTGTAGTCTATGTCAACCTCTAAGAAGGTAGTAGGGTGCTACTGGTTCTGTACTGTGGTACTGTGCTTACAAGAGCCAGCAGTCGAGGTTCTTGGAAGTTTGTTCTACCCTGTGAGGAGATAGGATGAGTGGGAAAGAAGACTAACCCCTTTCTTTTTTTTTCCCCCCTCAGCCTATCTTGAGGAAATATCTACCTCTGGTAACTTTACTAACAAGAGACTAAGTTTAATGTTAACGTATCTGTAAGAGTCTTTTTAGGATATCAGAGGGTAAAACTGTTTAAGATTTCCTTAATGATGTAAACAAAAATGCTCAGAAATTACTGCAGTTTCACTAAATGCAGATTTGAAATTCATATCTGATGAGCAGTAGTATTTTCAGGCTGTCAATACCACTGGAGTTAAGTCTTGTAGATGACAAGGAAGGTTTTCATGCCCATTTTGATTCATGGAGAGTTACCATAACAGACAAGGGACCTCTGCGAATACAGGTTAGAGTTCTGCTTTGTCAGATACATTTACAGTTTCTTCAGTGTGCATATGGAGAGGCCCTGGAATCTTTTCCAGTGTGAGCAAGAATTTTGAAGTGTTCTACTTATTTTGCTAATACTTATTAAAAATGAAGTAACTACACCCACTTAGTGTGAAATGAGGAAAATAACTGTTCATTCTGCATGTGGACTTTGAATTATACATGTTTTCTGACAGTGCTGCTCTACAATTCCTTTATTTAAGGAAGATTGTTTACTTTGAAATGTCTTTTCCTGTATCAAAAGACTGTCCTTCCTGTGTGAAACCATCAGTGGAGGGTGACTTTCATTGATTATGCTAGTTTGCACTTCTGTGCCTTTTGTTTACTTGAATGTATTCTGAATAAGCAAAGGAATAAAGGCACTTGGATGAGAAGAGACCTGAGGACCACAGATACAGAAAATGAACTGGTAGTGCACTTAACACAGGTGTAACACTTTCATTCAGTGGAAGGCTGTTATAGCTCTAATGTGGCACATGAGTATTTTGCAGCTTGGGTAATAGCTTTGAGCTATTAACTCACAGGAGGATTGAGGCTGGGAGTGTTAGTGTTGCAAGGTAACCTATTGCTTAGGTCTGATCACCCAAGGTTAGTGTGCTGCCAAGCTCTGTGCTACCCAATCTGTACTCCTGACAGACGCATGAATATTTTGACTATATATGCCAGTATTAAGGACTTGTAGAAATTTAACTAGGGTCCTACTCTAAACTGCATGAGAATTACTCTCTTAGGACCTTTCCTGAAAGCCTGTTAATCTAAATGTGAGATACTGATTAATCCAGTGTGTCTTTGGCACACACCACGTTCTGTTTTAGAGAGATTTGGTAACACGTAGTAAAACCGCGAATTTGGTACATGACAAAAACGTTAAAGAATAAACCTAAAAATGTTTTGTTTTGTTAAAGTGTGTATTTGCAGTTGCAATGACAGACTGCACAGCATGTAATTGCTTAATGCTGCAGTTACCATAAAGTTTCTGAAGTTCTTCCATATCTTACTAATGCATACACTGTTAATTACAAAATACTTGTAAATTGTTACTTCAGGATGATCAACGGTTGATTATGAGTGGCTAAACTTCATTTTATACAGAAACGATGCTGGGGTTCAGTGTAAGGTTTTTTAAAATAACGCTGATATTACTAGCCTTTCATTCACTACCTCCTAAATTTTTAACATCTATACAGTTTCCTCCCTGGAACAAAATACTTCAAGGCTTGACTGTTTTATAGAGATTTTATCTTTTAACTAAAAAAAAAAAAAGAGGAGAAAAAAAACCCCAAAGTGATGGTGAAGATGCTACGCATGATTGACAATGCTACGCTGCTATTAATGTAATCTGTGTGTTAAGTATCCTGTATATGTAAATTGTATTTTCAAGCCAGATTTTATAAATTAATTTATAAAATATCCAAATTGTTTCAAAATGGAATGGAAAACTTACAGGTCCTTGGACTAGTGTTATATATGTTGTGTACATGTACAGTGGGGGGAAAAGTCATTCCTTACTTGCAACTGGAAGATTTAAGTGCACCTTAATAGGAAAAAGAACAAATTCTTAATAGAATTAAGATGCATTTACTTTGAAGTTCTGCTATGGTACTGGATAAGTCAAGCCTAACTGTGAAGCATATGTTTTTTTTTTTCCACAGCTGAATTAAATTTGGGACAATGTTCTCACAAGCTGTCTTTAACATGTGTATTTTTGTGAATATTACATATTTTCTAATTAAATTTTACTTGCAATGTGATTTTTACATGAATGAAACTTGTTTAAAATGTCAAATATCAGTATTTTTCTTACAACTTTAATGTATAATGTACATTGGTATCACCAAATGAAGAATGATTTTACAAAATCAAACTAGATGTAGTTGTATATTAGTCTTATATTTTTACAGACTGGAATAATAAATGGATATAGAAATAAAGTGTGTTTTTTCTTGATTACTTTGTGAAACAAGTAAAAATGAGGACAAATATATCCTTTTATGCTCCAGTGTGAAATAAGATGGTTCCCCCCCCAGCCTAGAGCAGCAAAGTGGGCTCTTGTTTCATAGCAGTCTTAAACATTTTCTTCCTCTGCTCCCTGCAGGTATCTACCCCAGAGTATGAATGGTTCAAAGCATTTGTCCTTCAGTCCTGTTGACTAACCTGTGATGTGCTTATTCCTACAGTAGCTGCAACTAATGAATCTTACACTGCTACCACTTGCCTGAGGACTGCTCATAGCACGCTTTAGGTCATGGGGCCTGGGAGATGGTTCCTTACCCTCCATCACCTTTGTCAAGTGCTGCTGGTAGTGTGGAGTTGTTACTGTAAGTACTTGGTATAATCATCGATATTGAAGTTTTATCTTGAACCCATTCCCCTTGTGAATGTTTTCTCCCATATCTAATGCCTTGGCAGCCCTTGTAAACATTTACTTAGTGACAAAAGACTTGAGTTTCCTTTAGCCCTTTTGTGTAGGGCTTTTGTGCCTGCTGGTCTTGGGGCCATTCACATGACTCGTATTCTACACCTTCCTTCATACATGCGTGACTGGTTTCATTTGTATGGTTCAGTACTTCTCATACGTGCCTATGTAACTATGGGGAGGTGACGAAAAGACTCAGAACAGCATTCCAGTATCTTAATACTGGTATGCAGCTGAAAGAACCTGGTCTACTTCATCTGTGCACTTGAGTCTGAAAGGCTTGTAGCTGTAAGAAATTTCTTTACTCTGCATGGAAGCCGATAGCTCACCCCTTTCTTAAAGGAATGCTGAAGTTGGTATGGGAGTCTTGAAATGGCTTTAAAAATTTAACCTACCTGGATTAAAATCCAGGTTTAATGTTTTTCTGACTTCAGACCTTCTGTCCAAATGCATAAAGCTCTGAAACTGGGAGACATTTCCAAGTTACTGATTCTTGTTTACATTTGAATTGTGGGAGCAAGTAACTGTCTAGTGTTGGGGCTGAAAGTTTTTAGGTATTGGTTATTTTAAATAGATCAGATGAAAAAAAAAAAAGAGGACCAAAATGTGAAGGATTGCTGGCAGGCTGCAGGATGAGACAATGAGCCAACAAACAATTCAGTGTAGGTTCAGTTTGCATGCGTGGGGAAAAAAACCCCTGTATTATATTTTGCATAGGTGATGATCAATGCCAGGCAGACTTGCCTCTCAGGAGCCTCTCCTGAGCTATGATAGTTTACTGAACACATCAACCCCATAGTTGCTAGCATAAAATACCAAATTATGTTAGGAAAGGAGTGAAGGACAAAACTGGTAACACATTGCTGCTGTATAAAACCATGGTTCAGCAATGCTTTTAATGTAGTATGCAGTTCTAATTGCTTATTTTCAAAAAGGATACCAGACTGAAAAAAGCCATCTGCACTATAGAATGCTTTTAGTGTAACAAACATGGGTAGAAGAGACCTGATTGGCCTGAGAAAGATTGTAAAAAGCAATAAAGCTGTGTGTAAAGTTTTGTATGATGAAATCAAGTATCAAGAGATGGATTGAAAAAGTGCAGTTGAATCTTAAGTTTCACTTACCAGCTTTCAGTTAATTGATTCATAGTGAATTTTAGCTCCCTCAGAAGTAATTCTTAAGGAGGTCAAAAAATATTGAACCTAGAGGGCACTGTTTCATGTAAGGTTTATGTAATTCCACAGAATTAGTCTGGTAGTGTCGCAGACTCTGCACATGCGTCTCCTCCAGTGTTCCTTGCTGTGGAACCAGCACTGAGTCAGGGAGTACATTCACTGGAGCAAGAGCACAGACTATATAGCTCTGTCCTTAGTAGCCATTAATGTTTCTGTGCCTTCCAACAAGCTTCTGTGTGTGAGAGAATTTCTCCTAAACTAAAACTGCTAATAATCCAGGGGTTAGATTATTGCAGGAGCAAAGACCAAGGAGAACATTTCCTTAGGATGTAGTAAGCTCAACAGGGCACTTAAGGTTGGACAAGAACTGACAGACTCGACTACTGCTAGTATTGACCTGGAGTGAATCTGCAGTGGAGGGACAGTACAGAAGCTAGTCTGGGGTGCTGCAAGGGAATGAGACTGAAATGCATATTCATGCAGGTTAGCAACACTATTTCTGCAAATCACTGTAATATCTACTGGTAGTTTTCCTAAACTAATTGTAAAGACA